GCCTTTAGGGAGCTGCTTCTGAGAGGCCCCTCATCGGTGTCAACAGGACCTGGGCCTTCCCCTCCCCACGGCCCCGAGTTCCTGGGCACCAACAATGTCCGGTGGTCCCCAGGAGGGGAGGGGTCTGCTCGGCAGGACGGCCCCTTGTGGGCAGAGTTCTGGCCAAGTCCAGGCTTTCGCCTCTCCCCTTGAGGATGTTCCCAGGGATGGACAATTCTCCGAGGAACGAAGCAGGATGGGGAAACAGCCCACAGGGCCTGGCTTCCTGACCCGACCTCTGGACTGAAAAAACACACAGCTCTGGGGCCACAGGTCCCACTCCCTGCCACAGGCGGCTGTGCTCAGGGCCCGGTGAGCAGGAGGTGCCCCTCACCCACACAGGTCACTGGTCTCACTGCCCAGCCCCCACCCTTCTTCCTCCTCAGCCCCCAGCTCCAAAGCCTCCCCCGCTCAAGTCAACTTGTGGGTGCCACCCTCCCAGCTGCTGCGGGGTGCACGCGCTAAGTGCCTTAGAAGCTCAACTTGTTCAATCCTCACTCCAATCTGGTGAGGTGATCACACTTATTCCTCTACCATCCAGAGGAAGAAACTGGAGAGGTAAAGTCATGTTCCAAACCACCCAGCAGTAGACAGCGGAGTAGAGATTTGAATTCAGCCACTCCACTTGCCTTACTCACTGGCCACCCTCAGCCTAGCCTCCCTCTGATGTGGGAGGGGGCAGGGCTGGCCTGGGGCCTGGCACTGGGCAACAATTTGCCCAAAGGCATTAGCCCAAGACCTAGAAAACCCAGCCAGAGGGGCGTTGGGCTGGCTGGAGTTGGAAGGGGCCAGGAAGGCTGGTTCACCCTGCACTCACCTGGCATTAGCAAATGACCCGCCCCTTTCACATCAAGAGGAGCTTGGGGTCTCCATGCAGGTCTGAAGACCCAGGGAGCCCTGAGAGGCAAAGCCCAATACCCCTCCCTCGGCCCCTCCCCCAACACCTGCGAGGGAGGTTCTTCAAGCTGCTCTTCAGCAGGTCTTAACCTTAAACAACATCCCAGGCCTGCTCCCTACACCCAGGGTGGGCAGTGCATCCTCAGAGAGCCCCATGGGCTTCAAAACCATCATTCCTCAGGGGCTGTAACTGCTCTGCCTCCAGCTTCTCAAGAGGTGAGTCCAGTCCACCCACCCTCCCAGGCCTCCACACAATCAGCCGGAACATTCCAAACGGGGCCCTTGTCTTATCAGACAACGAAGCCCTGTCACCCCCGGGGGAGAGGCTCCCTGCCCTTCCTGTCCTGGGTCTTTCTGCATCATCACCACAACCCTGCGACAGAAGCACCAGGACTGTTACACCTAAGACAGCGACTTTCAACCCTGCTCATCTCATGGCACACAAACCAATTACTAAGATTCTGCAGCACACCCAAAAGTAAGTTTTTTGTCGATCTGACCAAAAAAACGAAAGGTATAATTTTGACTAATTCACAGTGGACCGCTACTGTCATTTTTTAATTTGACAATCTAAGGGAAAAGAGGTCAGTGCCCCTGACTCAATACTCAGGTATTGCATGTTTTAAACATTCTTGCGGCGCACTGGTTGAAACTGCTGACCTAAGACACTGAGGGTCTGAGAGTGTGAGGCCTGTTGGGCACCACCCAGCTGGACAGTGATAGGGCCAAGACCCAAACCACATCTGTCTGCTGCAGAGTCAGCGCCCCAGGGGACCCCTGAGCAAACACCAGCGCTCTCAACTCTGGCCTCCCCAGGCCGGCCCAGCCCGCCCCTCTTCGAGGAGGCTCCAGGCCTCCAGCCCATCCTGCAGGGGAGAGAGGCGGCCACAGGACACGGAGTGAGCACTCCGGCCAAGGACGCAGCAATCCTTCTGGACTGGAGCAACTTGATCTCCCTCCTTCC